CCATCCTGTCTGGGGTACCTCCTCTCTTGCCCTCTCTGTCGGTCTCTCTCTCTAGCAAACGCATACACCCTATGGCGAAAAAATGTTTATTAGAAAGGGTCACCCCGGCTGCCCTCTAGAAACCAGAATGCGGGGGTCAAGGGAGAAAGCAGGGCTTCAGAGACAGGTCTCTGCACTGATCTACATGAGAGGAAGCGGTGACCTGGCTCAGGACGAGGGCTCGGTGGTGAGAGAGTCACGACCGAAAGGCAGCACCAAGAGGACACGCTGACCACTGGGCACGGGCCGGGGCCAGGCACAGGCACACAGACGTCCTTACTTCCGGGGGGGACGGCCGCAGGAAGTGCAGGCTGGGGTGGCTCTGATGGGAAAGATGACCCTGGGTAACAGTCACGGTTATCGCTGCGACTGAACCAGAGACTGTCCCGACAAAGCGTGAAAGCTGCGGAGCGAGACGGGCATCTGGGACAGGTCAGTACCGGTGACAAGAACACCCCGACTGCGGCGTGCTGTGCGGCCACGCGGCACCAACACGCCCGGCTCACGCGGTCTGGAGAGGGCGTGGTCTGCTCACTGCCTCCGTCTCCCAGCAAAAGCCCGGCCTTCTCTGCTTCCCTTTCCCCCAGCCCCACGACTTAACCCTCTGAGGCTGGCCCCAGTGAGATCGGGCTCAGCTTTGGGGCTGCTACCGATAACTGAGCAGCTTACACTGGCATGGCACATGTGGGCGATCACGTGACTTAGAAACACTACCGAACTGAACAAATTAAGTCATCTCTGCAAAGTTCTGAGAAGTATAGACACTTAATGTCTAAGCAGAGAATGACGTAAAGTGGATTTCTGACCAACCTCTCCGACTAAAGCTTTCTGGAACGTTACTCCAGCAGCCAGGCGCGGGATGACGCTGAGCACCTACCGCTGACTTAACGCCGGGTGCTGTACCGAATGCTTCAGCCAAGTGCTTCTGATCACGTTTCGAAGTTCATGGTTATTGCGTGCTGATAACACACCAACCACCACGTCATAGTGACTGGGTTTCCTCTGGGGAAATACGGCCAGTTGATCTAGAAATAAGCAATAACAACTTAGAAATAGGCCAGGCCTCAATTACTATAAATTCAACACATAACATAAAAAATTTCATGGAGGGGCCAGACAGTGGCAAAGCAGGGAGACAATGCTCTGTGATGCTAGCCCAGCCTGGGAACGTCCAGGGTCACACCCCAGGGCCCCCCTGGGCACGTGTCATCTGGGCGGCTGGAGGAGGCCACGGCATGAAGACCCTGTTGAGGTTCCTGTCTTGGTCTCCCACAGGAGAAATAAGCTTAGTATGCTGGTCAAGAAAAGTCGGATTCAGGCCAGCAGGTAGAATAGCGGTTAAGACGCTGGACACCACATGGCTGGCCACATCCTGTGGTTTGGGGCTCACACCAGGCATATGGATGTGCATGCCCAAAATTCCAAGAGAGTTGAAGAGAGGGGACTGCAGCATAATTGTCCTCTGTGTCTGGGGCGAGCACATGCACCCTACAGCAAAAATCGCTCTGAAAATTTTAAAAAGAAGGCCAATAGGTGGTGGCGTGGTGGTTAAGGGCACTGGAATCCCCCATGGCCAATGGCAGTTTGAGTCCCAGATCTGGCAGCTTGCTTTCTCACTTTCCCTCCCTCCCTCTCTCCCTCCTTCTCTCTCTCGCCCCTTCACTTTGTCCCTCTCGGGTCAAATTAAAAGAAAGAAAGAAAGAAAGAAAGAGAAAGTAAGTTAAATAAGATAATTCTTTAAAAAACAAACAAATAAAATAAAAGAGAAGCAAGGGGCCAGCAAGTGGCGTTAAGGGCGCTGGATTCCCACGGCTGACCGCGGTTCAAGTCCCAGACCTGGCAGCTTGTTTTCTCCCTCTCTCTCCCTCTCTCACTTGCTGTCCCTCTCTAGTCAAATTTAAATAAATAAATAAATGTTAAACAATTCTTAAAAAACTAATAAATAAAAGAGAAGCCAAATTCCCAAGGTGATTATAGTTGGAACCCCAGCCTAGTCCGACTGAAACACACTGGGCCCGTGTGTGAGGGCCAGCAGGCTGTGGAAGGGGCTGCAGCGTGACTGGACTGTGGAGGGTGCTCTTAAATCTCTTACTCTTACTCTCATGTGTGTGTCCTCACTTAAAAGACAAAGAGAACTATTATACAATCTGTTTCTGTCTGCAGGAAATGCAGATAGATACATAGTAAGAAAACGCAGGAGCAAGAAACCATTGCTAGTAACATTCTGCATAGCCTGTCTTTCACACGCTCCTAAGTACGCAAATTCTCCAAAACAGACAGGGTGTTTGAGAGGACCCCTTCTGAAAGGCAGTGCAGCATACAGGACAGAGCAGTCAGTGTTAGCAGTCAGGCCAGTCAGGGTCCTGGCTGTCACCACTCACCATCAGCGGGTGCTCAGCCCTCGGTTTCCTCCCCACAGAGGGACATGTGTACAAGGGTTCTGGTCTGGTACCAGGCACAAAGTAGGTCCTCAAAGGCAACTAATAAAGCTTTCTCACTTTCCCTCCCTCCCTCTCTCCCTCCTTCTCTCTCTCGCCCCTTCACTTTGTCCCTCTCGGGTCAAATTAAAAGAAAGAAAGAAAGAAAGAAAGAAAGAAAGAAAGAAAGAAAGAGAGAGAAAGTAAGTTAAATAAGATAATTCTTTAAAAAACAAACAAATAAAATAAAAGAGAAGCAAGGGGCCAGCAAGTGGCGTTAAGGGCGCTGGATTCCCACGGCTGACCGCGGTTCAAGTCCCAGACCTGGCAGCTTGTTTTCTCCCTCTCTCTCCCTCTCTCACTTGCTGTCCCTCTCTAGTCAAATTTAAATAAATAAATAAATGTTAAACAATTCTTAAAAAACTAATAAATAAAAGAGAAGCCAAATTCCCAAGGTGATTATAGTTGGAACCCCAGCCTAGTCCGACTGAAACACACTGGGCCCGTGTGTGAGGGCCAGCAGGCTGTGGAAGGGGCTGCAGCGTGACTGGACTGTGGAGGGTGCTCTTAAATCTCTTACTCTTACTCTCATGTGTGTGTCCTCACTTAAAAGACAAAGAGAACTATTATACAATCTGTTTCTGTCTGCAGGAAATGCAGATAGATACATAGTAAGAAAACGCAGGAGCAAGAAACCATTGCTAGTAACATTCTGCATAGCCTGTCTTTCACACGCTCCTAAGTACGCAAATTCTCCAAAACAGACAGGGTGTTTGAGAGGACCCCTTCTGAAAGGCAGTGCAGCATACAGGACAGAGCAGTCAGTGTTAGCAGTCAGGCCAGTCAGGGTCCTGGCTGTCACCACTCACCATCAGCGGGTGCTCAGCCCTCGGTTTCCTCCCCACAGAGGGACATGTGTACAAGGGTTCTGGTCTGGTACCAGGCACAAAGTAGGTCCTCAAAGGCAACTAATAAAAACCAGGAATTAAAAACGCTTTGAAAAGTGAAGTCCTGGTGCCAGCAGATGGCATAGCCGTTACGTTGCTGGACTCCCACATGGCTGATGGCGGTTCGAGTCCTGGACCCAGTGGCTTGAAAATCACACCGGGCACTTGTGTGTGTGTGTGCCCAAGATCCTGGGAGAAAAATGGAGAAGGGACTGTGGTGTGACCATCCCCCTCGGAGGGTGATTTCTCTCCTCTCACTGTCTCTGTCTCTCTTTCTCTCCAGCAAGTGCATGCACATGCCCTAAGGCAAAAAACCTCTAAAAAAAAAAAAAGAAAGAAAGAAAAGAAAGTGAGGTCCGACATTATTGTTAGTTATTAAGTTTGGAGGAAAATCAAAGGACTTCCATACCAAAAGTGCCAGAGTTCTTCCTTATATATAAATTCTACAGCTAGCAAACCTTTGATTACTTGCTAAATACGCTGAAGAATGAAGAGGGAATATTTTTAGTTAAAAAAAAATCAATACTTAGTCACTAAATGGCTCATTTTTTACTGCCGTAAGGGGTAATGGGCCGGGTTACATTTCAGCTTCTAAAACTTGTCCTGAGAAGACAAAAGAGAAAGTCTCTGTGCTGTTCTAAGGCTAGAGTGCCGAGGTTACATACAGCTCTGAGGAGGGGTCTATCGCATCTCCTCCTCCAGTGCTGGGAAGTGAGTCAAAGCATTTCGAAAACAAATTACTGAAGGCCAGAGATCTTTACTACATTGAACGAGATTTTTTTATATGGCACAGGGTCTGAACATTCAGTATAAAAGAAAATAAAAATATACTGGTATATTTTCAAAAGACCAGTTAAAATCAGGGGGCAGATTCTTCCATTAGGATAATTTAAAGAATATTCTAATAATGATAGGAATACAGATAATTTTGTGTAGGTATCCTGTTTTCCACGATAGACATGAATTTATAAAGACAGAATCTATCTTTAAAAAAAAACCTATCTTTAAATTTGCTATAGAGGGACCAGCAGTTAGCATAATGGCTATGTCGCTGGATCCCATGTAGTTGACTGTGGTTCACGTCCCGGACCCGGTGGCTTAAAACTCACGCCAGGTGTGTGTGTGTGTGTGTGTGTGTGTGCACGTGCGTGCCCAGGATCCCGAGAGGAGAATGGAGGAGAAGGGACTGCAGCATGGCCATACCCCCTGGGGGGGTGATTTCTCGCTTTCTGTCTGTCTGTCCGTCTGGCGAGCGCACGTGCCCTATAGCAAAAACCTGTCAAAAAAAAAATTTGCTATGGAGTACATGTGCTCATCAGAGAGACAGAGAGAGAAAGCACCTCCAGGATGGCCATATTGCCATCCCCTCTCCTCTATTCTCTCAGGATTTTGAGCAAACACGCACATACCCTAGCATGGTTTTCAAGCCGCAGGGTCTGGGACTTGAACCATGCAGTCAACCACGTGGGATCCAGCGCCTTAACTCTACGCCACCCGCTGGCTCCACTCATCTGAATTTAAACTGCAATCTTTCACCTGTAACATCAGTTCCAGCATGAATCAGAGAAGATCAGTGAAAACGCTGGTGCCTGCATTAAGTGTTTGAGTCCATAGTGCCGGAACACGTCTTCCCCAGATGCGTAAGGATGCAATTAAAGGCGGACCTATTGCTGGAACTCTGAATTTGGATACTAATTTTTTTTTTTTTGAGAGGTTTTTTGCTATAGGGCGCGTGCACTCGCCAGACAGACAGAGACATAGAGACAGA